TATATATATATATATATATATATATAGCTAATGTTTGTCCATAAAACTCCTCCCACAGTTTAAGATCAATTTGGATGAAACTTTGCACGATTTTTCAATATCATAAGGGGAAGTTCCTAACAAAGTTTCATTACAATTGTGTCTCTTATAAAAAAAAAACTTATTTAGTGCATGTGTCCACTTTTTTTTTAAGAAATAAGTCAATAACAGCTTTATATTGCACCAAAATGAAAAATGTTATAAAGTAGACCCTCACTAAGATTAAAAAATAATAGAACCTTATAACATTTTTTCTTAAATCATTTCCATAATAGAGAAATAGTACTTCTTTCCTTTTTATCAACAAAATTGATTTTTTAATAAAACTTCAAAAATTGTGGTAAAGTCAGTTTAATACAGAATTTTAAAGTGAGTCTTCCTAGTAGAGAATCCAAGCTAATACTATGAATTGAACTGTTCTGTGACTGAAGGAATCACAAGTCCTTCGTAGGGAGTTGTTGCATAAATATTTGCAGGAATTTTGAAGTAACTTGATCTTCGTAAGTTACACAAGTATTTTTTTTACTTAAGTACGAGTATAAAGTGATAAACATCGAAAATCACAGTGCCAAAAATTTCAAAATTGAAAAGTGACTTATCATGTAGAAAGTCTGAAATGTCAGGATGCAGGTTACAGAAAGAAAGAAATAAGTTTGATCACTAAGTTATGAGGCAAGATTCATTGAGAAGAAGCAAGGAACAAACCTGAGATGCAGAAGCAAATCAAATTCCTTGCCAAGATGCAGTTAAAAAAGTCGGGAGCAATTTCATGACAGACAAGCACACTGTTCACCTTGCCGAGATCTTAACCAAACAATTGCCTGTTGTACTTCTGCTAGTGAAATATAAATGCAAATATTTGTACAGTCTTTGAATAATTCATGTAATTTACACACACACATCGTCATCATAAATTATTAAGAGAAATTGGTAAAACAAGGCTACAGTACACATACATGTTTAAAAATTTGAATTATTACTCCCAGTATTCCAGTTTTTATGTCAATACAAAGCAAAGTTCTTAAGGTACATTTTACAGTGTTCCATTATGGAGGAATATATGTTTAATACAGTATGGGTGTATGTAAATATTTATTTTCTACTTATCCATACCTTTAACAATGGGTTCAGCATCTAGGAACTTGTTTGTATATTTAATATCTAACTTAGAACATATCAATATAACTGCAATATTATTTAAAAGGTTTGAGTAATTTAAAGAAACTAGTGATTTACATGACCAGCTAATATTCATTTATGGCCAATTAAATTAATACTAATACATCTACATTTTTAACAGATTTGCATATTACAAAAAATCTTAACGTTTAATTCATAAAATAATTCATTATTTTGGGAAAATGAAGGGATCTATCTTTTTTATAAGGCTGAATAAGTAACTTAGAATATGTTTACATTTTTGACATGTTTGGGAAACATCATGATTCGCCAGTTTATACACTTTTAATTTTAAAAGTTATAAACACTGTCACTGATATAAGTTAATGAAAATATTAACCATGTTAGTCTTCTAGGGTCTTCATGGACCCCCAAATATTTTGTAAACATAGGCACCAACAGATGGAAGCACATACATGTTTGTTGTTCTCAGTAGTGTCAGTATTTGGCTAGTTTGTGTTAAACTGTTACACCTAGTTTAGGTGGTAAAAAAAAGAAACAAGTTGTAATATTCAATGTTTAATAAAGGAAAATATTTTGGGTGTTAGTGTTTTCTTGTTTCCAAAATAATAGTTTATTATTATTTGAATATTTTTATATTCATTTTTTATGATGGGTTTTTTTTTTTTTTCTTTGCTAGGGGGATTCAGACTTTCCTCCTGAAGCTGTCAGAGCATTTCATGAGAAGCCTACACCATCTAAAGATAATCGTAACATTTCCAACAAACCAGCTGTTATTCATCAACCAAGGAAATAACCAATACATTTTGATGGTGGGAAAATAATATTTTTTTAAACATTTTCTTCTCCATTTTAGCTTGGGCATGTTTATGATTTGGGATGGGTTTTTGAAATGAGTTTGTTCTGGTAAGTTTGAAAGAAATATTATTGATTATTAACATTTTACTAAGATTGTTTTAAATGTCACAGTTCTTTTGTTTTGTTTTATCTCGGGCAAAAACATCAGTCAGAGAAATCACACATTTTTATCTTGTTGTCTATTGTATAGTTTGTATTCTCAAATGATCCTTCCGACTCCTTATCCAGCCCAGGTTATATTAGAATTTCCTGCATTATCAAATTTGCAGATCTTTAAAATTTGAATAAGACTGCATTCTTTACAATAGAAGGCATGTTTGTGAAATGTGTAAAGTTCCAAATAAATTAATTTATATTTGAAATGACTATGTTTTTTAACAAGTATAAAACATTTGTTAACTTTTAGATTTATATAAAAAATATACATACAATTTCTAATAAATACTACTAATAATATTGCAATTGTTTAAAAAAAATTGTTTTTCGGTACTTATGAGTGAAAGTAAAATGTTTAATCATGTTATCCAGTGCCAATGAGTCATTTCAACCAAAATAAATTAGCTGACCTTTGACTTAATGTCTAAATCATACTGCAGGGGAGCAATCTTTTTTTTTTATCCTCAAGAGCTAGGATTGTTTAAAAGTATATTAATGTTTACTTGTGCAACTGAAATAAAAGTTTTATGAGCCATGAGAGTCTCGTTCGTATTAGATATACTTCAACACATTGATACTGGTTTTACTATAATTTTGACTACAAGAAAACATTGTATACTACGTGATTGAAAAACAAAAATCCAGTAGATTCGTTTACACACATGGAAACTATTTTCTGTTTAATGATAAATATTTAAATGCAATTCATTATACCATTGGCATAGTAGTTTTAATATATCGTTAAAAATGCTATAAGATCAGGCATTGAATAACTGATATTTAATAACAAGAAGCTAACAATTTGATTACTGTGTTTTTTCACTATACCATATAAAATCATTATTATCAATTCTTTGATAGTATGTATCTTTGAAAAAGTGCACATATCATGCATGTTAACTGATAACCACAGATGAGGTTTTTAACTAGTTCTTCCAAAAGAATACTTTTGGATATCTACATTCTTACCTACTAAGTGACTTTTTTTTTCTCTCTCATACTGGTAGCAAATAATTATTACCATGAATCTAGAGATCTGTATTACACTGACTCCTTAAGAACACTTTTAAATATATTCTTTAATTTTAATATATCTTTGAATGATAACTGCTACTAACACTCCCATGTCTTTCATTATGCTTGATATTAAATTCTAGTTTATGTGTTACCATAAAGCCAGTAAGTTCTCTTGCTAAGATAATACAGATTTTTTTTTTTACATTAGTAGAGAAAACAAAAAGAAATATATTGACACTATACATTATCTCATGGTAGTTGTAAAAAATACAACAAATAGTGTTTGTGAAATAAATTAGCAACTTCAACATATGCATGAAAAGTAGAAGTTCCTGAATTAATGGAATAATTACAGAATGTTTCAGAAACAAGTTCACAAAATAATGAAATGGTCAAAGAAGCTTGATCAGTTTAAATATATTGTAGAAATATTTTGACATATATTTAAAACCTGTAAACCATGATTAAAAACAGATCCTTTATCACAATCGTGTCAAAAGTTCCTTATTTTTATCTGTTCATGCTCTTAGCATGAAAAAAGAAAATTGATTAGGTTAAGACAGGCATGGCACGCTGTGGGCTTGTACAGCGTTATGTGTCACGATATGTCAAGCAGAGGAATAAATAGTTACTTTGCAAATTCTTCAATATCTTAAAGAAATTCATTGGTTCACATTTTAATCTAAGTTTTATTTTTGAAGAATATCTTTTATTCAGTGACATATATGATTCTTTAAATATATCACTGACAACTGCCCAACTTATACCACTACTAAAATCTTCATATCATCATAATTCACATTGCTTAACTTTATTTTGCAAACCTAAAATTCTCTTCTGTATTCTGATAATTTCCAAACAAAAAGTTTAGTTTCACATTACACACCCAACAAAGTTTGTGTTAATAATCACACATTTGTTGTATAATGTTATGAAAAGTTCAAACACAAAACACAGCTGGAAAAATATTTTCATTTTTATGCAACAAGCAACAAAACAAATATCACATCATTAAAGTAACTATTTCTTGAAAAACTTTCCAAATTTACAATTAAAGATTGAATGTTGGAAGATTTCTGGCACAAGAAGAATTACCACTTCTCACTAGTGATTAATTGTGACAACACTGACTGGACAATATTTAAGGTTTCTGATCTAATTTGTTAGAAAATAACATTCATGTAACATAAATGTGATTTAAAAAGTTTAACAACTGCAGAATAAGCTAAACTATACCCTTGATAATACCACCAGAAAAAATACAAATGACAATAAAATTTATTTTAGGCAAAAGATTTGTTTGTTTAAAATATGTGTATCATATTTCATCTTGTACCAATGTATTTTAAGAATCGGTAACTTGTAATATGTTAAACAACTCTAGATAACTAAAAGCACAAAAATGGGTAAGTTTTAACAGCAATTCAACTAAATTAACTTGATACATTATTAATGCAATTAAAACTGACAGAAATCCAAGATGATTTGTTAAGGTCCAAATTACATGTAAAATTACTATGTCTGGCATGTCACAAACACATAAACCAAACAAATTATGCTTTCTCCTGTTATATTATTACAAAAACTTTTTAATAATATCAAACTCTGAAAATATTCAAATGTGTCTGAAGAAAATCAGCCATAAATTTCAGTAATAAGAAAACTTTTTATTTAACTTAGACTTAGTTATAAAATCTTACTTGTACACTGTAAATCACAGTTAACTACCCTACAATTTAATGCTGCTGAATGTTTAGAGCAAAAACAGTTAATGCTAGTCACCAGAATTTTTCTTAACTCTTTTAAATATTTTATTTGTAAAACGAAATTTAATACATTTATTATTATTTTTAATATTACATTATAGCACCTATGGTTAACATTACACAGCTGCATAAAACCATAATATTGTAACATACAAAACAAATCAAGAAACTCTTTCAACTACAGTAATGAATTTGGCTTCTGTGCAAGGCTTGAGATAAAATTTATCTAAAAAATAATGCTGATAATTTTGAAACTTTACAAATAAAACAATGTTTCATAAACTTGCTGTTTAAATATTATAATGGAGTTATTAAAAAGCTAAAGTAACTTGTATAACAAACAGAAGGTTATAAAAATATCATCTAAACATATATATTTCTGTAATATAATGGACTTTTCTGTACAAACATAAAATAAGGAATAGATTATGCTCTTGCTGAGATTAGTGAACATATATAAATATATATAGCAATAAATCAACAATAACACATCTATTAAACTGCCTGCAAGAAAGCACTAATTCTTTTATAAAACAGCACACTTTTCACTAAAAGAATCGCAACTATCACATTCTAAGGTAAATTATCATAGGGAAGTGATAGAAAGATTGTTTTACCACTTTGTTTAAAAAAGCTTTCGCTCTATCTCGTATGCTTTCATTAATTCTTGAAGAGTGAGTTCTGTGATTCCGTTTTCTGCCAGATCTTGCTGCTTGTCTGACATACTATGCCACAACAACTGAAATAACTGTTTACACTCTGCCCTTTCATCACTGGTCAAGAACTGCAGGGTAAGGCTAAACCTTTTGGCTTTACTGAGTCCACTCAACACTTCTACCACCAGATAAAAATCTTCAACAGTGTCTTCAAATTCTGTAAGAGTTACCAAAATTTCACCAAGAAGACCAAAGCCAATTTCAGAGTGGAATATCTGACCGAGTGCCTCCCCTCCAACTTTCTTTAAGAAATTGTAGCGATCTTGAATACTAGAAAGACGATGATGCCAAATCTTTTCAAATTCCTGGGTTGTTAGGGGTGTCTTCAGTTCACAAGACTAAAACATAAGTTTGAAATTAGTAAAACAGGAAGGTTACTCATGTCCTAAAACACTGTGTATGCAATTAGACAGCAACCTATTTCCTAAAAACAACTATTTTACTATTACTCAGAGTAAAATTAGTTTTAAGTTCTGTTCTTAAAAGGTACAGGCCCAAGATATATGGTAAAAAAACACTTAATCATAAGAGAGCAGTTTTACCTGTTTATCATTCAAATTTGCCCAACAACTACAAATTGTAATTTTAGTACAGCATGCTAAAACTTATATAAACTGAAAACATTAAAAAAACCTTTAACATACAGAATTATTAATTGCAATAGGAATCTGCATACATTTGACGTCATGTCCACCAAACCATTCCTTTCAATATGCCAGTGCTTCTCAACTGGGTGAATGGTTCACCCAGAGGTTAACAAGATCAGGATGAATGAGTATTATCAATTATACTAAAAATTTGCAAAGAGTCATTAGTTATTATTATTTATTCTAGTTGTACTTTCATAAATACATTTAATTTTTGTTTATTTTATGCTGTATTCATTCTAATTGTAGTTTGATGTATATTTAAGTCATAATAAATAATTTTAATTTAGGACATTTTTTGTCTTTTTTTGAACTGGGTGAGTGAGCTGTTGTGAAAAACTTAAAGGGATGAATGATATTGGAAAAGGTTGAAAAGCACTGCTATATATTACCATTGGCAAATCTGGCTACACAACTTGTCCAAACTTCAGATTAATCTGATAAGCATGTGACAGACATTAGAAGAGAGGTGTATAATGATGCAAAAATTAGTATTTTAAAACAATTTATAAATGTAGTATTTATATAAAATCTTCTCTCTCACACTACACCATTCTAGAATAACTACACTGGAGGTAGAAAGGGTCAAACAAGATGATGTAGGCCAAGTTAAATCATTTTGCACTCAACCATATTAAGATTTGTTTCACCAACAAGGCCACTATGTTAGGCCATGTTGACCTAAATAACTGCTTGAACAGACAAAGAAAACTGCTGAAAAGAAAGTTAAAAATCTATATATACATATGAATATAAAATAGTTTTAAACTTATTACATACATTAAATGAAACCTTGCAATTTTTCCCTCCAAAATAAGATGCACCCATTTCGATGTGATTTAGTTACTGGTCTTTGAAGTAAACCACATGATTTTTAATCTCTAAATAACAAATAGAAATAAATCAAGACCTGCTACTACATCAGTTTGATATGGCTGCAGAATTTTGCATAAGACCAAAGATCCAAAATCAGCTTGCCCTTAAAAAACAGCCTTCATACCCTCAGAGAAATAATTGTAAACGGGTAAAAATGAAGGAAGGGGAACAAAAACAGGATTCTACTATTGGTGAAACCTTTGTCCAAACATGAATGAAACTAGCCTATGGATGGAAAGACAGAGGACAAGTTAATTAAGGTGTTCCATTACGAGCTGAGGCTTAATGATGAAAATGTATAATGACAATTTCTGGATAGGAGCCATAGTAGTCAACTTGTTCAAAGGAAGCAAATGACAAGCTAAGATCAGTTCATTAAGGTACATTCAATCATACCAGATGAGGTGAAAATTGGACTGGAACCAGCCATAATTTTGGTACAGTTGATAAATCACACAGTAACAGGATCCAGACCATAAGGTCCAGATTCAAGGAGCACTAAAAATAGAAGACAAATAAAAGGAAATCATAAAAGCCAAAACCTAAACAAAGCAAAACTGGTCCACAAAGCTTAACCAATTCATAGAAACAAATATGATTCTGAGCTCACACTAAATGGGAGAACACAGAACTGATCACTCTAATGGAAGTTAAGGTAAAACCTGGACCTTGCATGTACAAAGAAATAAAGTTACTCATCCTGAATGTCCAAAACTATCTTGACTCTATCTTGTCACTTTTAGTTTCCATTGCATTTAAAAAAAATGCAGATGCAAAACTTCTTCTATTAGACCTCATTTGCAATAGAGAAAGATTCTGCAAATCACTGGATCCTAAGGCACAGGAAATCACACAACATGAAATTTAAAAGATAATTTAAATCAAACAAAAAAAAAAGCATGTCTAGTAAAATACAAGCACTGAGTTCTGAGCACTGCAAAAAAGAGAAACAAAAAAACTGATGAAAACTTAGTTGCCTTCAGCATACTGTTCTAGTCTCAGCAGTGGACCCAAAAGCCAACAGTTGAAAAAAAAAATAATTAAAACCCCCAAAGATACTGTCAGTAGCTGCATCTGACCACATAAAGACACTCACCAAGAACATGTCTGATACTGAAGAGTGTTCCTTCCAAAAAAAGTCATGGTTCATATGTGTTTAAAATCATTACGATATTTTATATATGACTGACTACACAGACTTGTGATGGTTTTATTGTCTTGAAATATTTTCATGTTCTACAGTAATTCCTATATGCTGAATCAGAAAATATCAATTTTTCTCCATCACATACAGATTTTTCACAAACATCATAACACAATGCATAAAAGAAAGACCGCAACACAGTTTTTTTACATAAGAAAATCAGGATGAAAGAGGATGCACATTCGTTTGACATCAGTTCTTCCCTTGTCTTCGGTTTGTTTGTATTTTTGTTAACAAACATAATAATCAAAAATGTTTATTGTGGTAAACTAAATAATTTGATCTAAGAAAGAGTTTTTTCTCTTCCAAATTTGTAAAAAAATCCTTATGTGATAGAGAAAAAAAAGAATATTATTTTCAAAATGTGCATAGTTGAATAAAACCAAAACAACTTTTATGAAGTTTAAATTCACAGGTCTGTGTTATCATTTAGAAGGAATTTAAAGATTAGGTTTCACAAAATCACATGGCTCAATAAGTAACTCAAGAATTTGACTTTAACGAACCTGCTTTGTAACCTGAGTAAAAGGACACTGATGCTGATAGATACTTTTCACTTTATTACTGGCAAGGCTATTCCATGTTTTACGGGTTCGACCATTAACTTTATCTTCCTTTTGCATGGGCTTTAGATGAGCTACCTTCACCATGTCTCTGAAAAAATAATATGTACAATAACATCTTGAAAATAAATTGTAAGTACACTATTTAAAGATATTGATCCAACACAATCATAATACAAGTTAAAAACAAAGGTAATGAAAAAATTTCAAGTAGCAAGAAACTCAATTCTGTCTAAAAATAGGTAAACAAAGAAAATTTTAACCATGTATATAAATAAATTACATTTTAAACATTGCATACTTTTAAATAATATTCTTTTTGAGGCCTAATGAAACAGAAAAAAAAATACACACCTTATTTGCAGATGTTTCATATTTCACATCCCTATTAATATTTTTTTAAATATCTCATCAGAAATGTGTAAAAATAGCATTTTACACTTATATTTTTTGTTACAAATCATGAAAAGATTATTGTTACACACCTCATTAAACATTGTGAAAGGCTTATTAAAAAGAATGTAAAAAAAAACATCAGCAGTGAAACATTATTTTGTCCTAAATAACTATAGCTTTTGACATATTTGGAATATAAAAAGTTCAACATTTTGATGTACAAATTTTTTTCTATCTCAATAAAAGCATTTAAAACACGTAATATTATCTCTTAAAATTGTTCAAAATGTAAAATCAAAATCACACTACTTAGTAATTTTCCAGTCGTATTTTACAGAATAAACATCACTTTTAATCCTAGAAATGGAATGTGGTCATTATAGAAATATTTATGAATCTAGGTTGGAAACAAGGTTGTAGACAGTCACCTGTCTTAATTAGTCTAGATTGGATATTGGTGTTAATATCTTAAAACATTAGTAAGCAAACTATCAGTCTATTTGACTGCTAACAGGAACATCACATTCTAAGAAAATATGAAAGAAAACACAACATAACCTATGGACAACAAGAAAGCATTTGATCCTTTTAGACAATTCTTCCACATCAAAACCTTGTGAATAGTAAAACTTTAAATCTATTTTTTGGGAAATCATCAATTCTCATTTAAACTCCTGTAAAATACTATCATTCATTACTGATGACAGCATCTTATTCCATAAGTCAATCACCAAGTTACAAAAATAAAACCATCTGAACTGAAGACTAGGCTCTCTTTTCTAAATCTTTAACTTGTGTCCCTTCATCTTATTTTCAGAATATTGCATATGTAAATCAGAGGTCTTTAGCCTAATGACACCTCAGGTAATCTTGTAAACTTCAATAAGATCACCTCATGCTCTTCTTTTTTCAAGAGATAAAAAAGGTTAAGAGATCTTAATCTATCTTTGTAACATAACCCCTCCATCCCTTAGTAAGTCAGGCAGGTATAATCCTTCCAGTTAACCTTTCCTATTTTTTGAAACATACCTACCTTGATTTAAAAGTAGCTTATTTTAAATTTCCCAAATATGTCCCACATCACTTTTTAACTCATTCTCAGTTCACTAATCATAAATCTTTCCTTATGGTTTCAAATCCAGTTTTCTTAAAAACAGGAACTAAAATTATATTTGTCTTTATCTTAACTAAAAGCAAACTATCAGACCTAATTATGCAATGACCAGTCTTCCCCAAATATTCCCCTACTTCATCACTTGCAATCATATTCTCACAATGATTAACAAAAAATATAGTGTTGGCTCTCTGAATATTTTGTATTAAAAAACACACTTGAATCACTTCAAGAAATCTTTCTTCCTTGCTATGTGTATTCTAGCTTCCTGACACAAAATTACAGGTTTTACCACAATGATAAATAAAACTGAGTAATTAGTGGTAATGGTTAATAATTAATCAAAGGGGTCATTAATTTATTATACTCAGTTAATTACCTAGTACAGAATTCCTGATAATATGGTATGTGTTCCCCACCCCTATAAAAGCAAAAAAAAAAGTGGAGTGGAGATGCTTTAGCTTTATAACTTTGAGATCTGCTGCATTTTCCTTTTTCATACTTAACAGTGAAAATAGTAGGAATAGGGAACACAAATATAAACTTTGGCAGGGTAGGAGTATTCTTCAGCTAAAACAGTTTTATAATTCTAACAAGGTGGTTGGCATTTGAAATGGGTTGCCTTGGGATGTTGCAGAGGCAATAAATTTAAGTGAGTGTAAGAGAAAGCTTGATAAGTACATGAATGACATACAACATAACAATTAGAATAACATAAATTGATTTTGTAAAATAAAACTTTTGACAGTTATGATTTTATCTTACAAAGTCTGAACACCATTAGTGAATGACTAAAAATAAAACTAAAAAATCTATTCATATAATACAGTATTATTGTGTTAACAAGTAACAACAAAGTTCGACTTCTTCATACTAGCTGTAGTAATATTTTCCTTTTACAATGATGGTATAATACCAGTTAACTATTTAAAAATTAGCCATATATTGTTACAACCAAGTTTTAGTATTTTTTACATGAAAGATGAGACTTCCACTATAAAAATCTAGTATTTTGAATTAATCAATATTGACCATACAGTCCTAAATGAATCAAACAATGCTTAAATAATGTTAATGTTTCTGTAAACAATTAGCTCAGTAAAGTTATAATTCTAGTAATGAGATTGATATGAAAATAAAAACAGTTAAAGACAAATATTTCTAAATTTTTAATAAAAAATTAAATAGTTATAATTATTCATACTCATGATTAGAAAAAATTATAGCACTTGTAAATAGGATACCTGCTTTAAAATAATTTTAAAAAATCATTATTAATACATTCATAAGATTAAATTGTAATGAAAATAACTAATTGAAACTGTGGTCTGTAATTATTGCTATTTCTTACTACTCCAACTATCCAAGTAAATGAAACATTGCTAATATGTCTGTTTGATGTTAAACACAAAGTTACATAATGGGTTATATGTACTCTGGCAAATTTCAGACTTATAAGTTTTTTTTTAACTTTAAGTTTGTCCAGCTTTGGTGATTGGGGGTGGGGGTGTCACAAATTGAGGGTGTCAATCGTGAGCCCCCCCCCCCTACAAACATAATGCCAATATTTTGAGTACTTGAATAATTGGAACAACAGAAATGATCAAAATCACTAATTTCAATTAGTCATTTTTGTAACAAGCATAATTTTGATAAATCTATTGTTATAACAATAAAAAACAGTAATAAGTGGACACACAAACTTTGATTAGTTGATTATTTTCATGACATTAATTAATTAAATTGTAATTTTGATTAATCAGTTGGTTTACATAACACTAATAATGTAAGTGCTACTCACAGGTAATCCTTTAAATTGCCCATTTCTACCGATAAATGTTGTGACTCATTACAATAAGTTATTTAAACAGTACTATATAAATTGTAAATAATTATTAAGTCATATATTTATTTACTTGTTTTCTTAAATGCAATATTAGTATAATATTTTATGAGTTTTTAAGGAATACAAGTTTAAAAAGTATTAATACTGCTACAGGTGTTAGCACAAAAGATTCTTGCCTAAATTCATCGTAGGCTGTGACTCTTTGATTAACTGCTCTGACTTTGGCATCATTTTCTCGTGAATATTTAGTATCAGCTTCTACTGCTGCATGAAGTTCTTCTTCTAACTGTCTGAAGTCAAGTGAATCGTCATCTACAGCTGCCATAGCTTCAATGGAGTGTATTTTCATCTGCTATTAAGCATTAAAGTAACCAAAGTTTATGTTCTGGAAAAAAAAAAAACTTTTAGAAATGAAAGGACCACCCACCTAAAATATATATGATAAAAAATAGGAGCCAGATGACAGAAGTCCACTTTGCTCATTAAAACCAACCTTCAAATAATCAAAACAGGAGAAATGACAAGGATTAGATTGTTTTCAAATGTAGTGGACACAACAAGACTGGTAAGAATTCAAGAGATGGCTTAATGAGCACTTGGGGAGTCAGGATTGGATACAGGCATATGGGTGTTTGACAAGATGAAGGGGACAGCAATGATGAACCAAGAAGCCACTCGTTCCCCAAATGATACAATATAAGGAGAACAAAGGCTAATTTAGCTTATCAAGGTCATTCTTCCACTCACTGAAGCAACCAGCCAAAGTGTACTTCTCATAATTCATATATTTATCCAACAAAATTAAAGTCTGGAATAATAGCACAAAGCACATTATCATCTAAACCATTTTATGAAGTTCATAACTTTTACAAAGAATGAACACATATAAGAGAAAGGTAAAGGTTGCCATGTTTTTTGATGGTTAAAACTAAAATCTATCCCATAACAAGAAAAATAATAACATGTCTATGAAATTGTGCATTTTGGGGCAATAAACAAACAAATAATTCAAAGCTAATTTCATAAAAAAAATAGTATTTTGGGTGTGCTCTCCATCATTTTGTCCCCCCCCCTCTCTCTCAATCACTGCTACATTACATTGTACCCTCACATCTAAATAACTGAACCTTACACAAAGATTGGTGCCTGCATTTTGGTCACAATACACTCATCTATTTATGTAATAAAAAGTTGTTATCTAGTTTTTTTTAAATAGAGCAAAAACAGATATACAAGCTCCTAATGAAAAAACTAGTACAACTGGTTATTTTTAAAGAAATTGCTCACGATACTGGGGCAGACATCTCACAATGACACTGTCCTAAACAATTATAATTAAATAAAATATAAAGAAAGGTAACAAAAACTACTAAGCCAATTCACATAAACAGAAAACCAAAACATTACATAACATACAGATAACAAAATATCATTTGGACCTTCAAGATTGTTCTTGCACACCCACACTTGAGAAAATTACTATTTTTTTCACAAAATCATAATTTTCAGTCTATCTTATATTCAATGATCAGTTATATTGCTGACCAAATTCAATCACAAAATATTCAATACTGACAATAGCTAACTTATAGCATTGTAATAAACTTTAGTAGTTTTAAATTTGGTTTCATTGTTAATTTTTTTTTTGCACTTTATCTTTTTACATATATACTTTAACATTTATATTCAAAAATTTAAGTAACAAAACTGCCATGACTCATGTCATAATCAAAAACAGTTCATTAATTTAACTATATTATCAATTCACTTTTACTTTATTCTTTGGTTTTTACCAAGTTAGGTACACTATGAAGCATAGGATTAACCTAAACCTTATAATAAGTGAAAAATTATCTTTTAACTTAATCTTAGGTATTGTTAACAGTATTTACTAAATACTATGTTACTGTTAGTGTTAATTACTTAATCATGTCAACGTTCTGTTACTAATACTACTAGTAGTAGTGACAGTCACTTAGTGATAATTGATTAGTCAATACTCGTTTCAAACCATCAGTACCATTGAGACCATATGTGAAAGATATTATTGTTATAAAATGAACTAGATTACCTCATCTAATTTGCGTAATTGATAATGATATACATTTAAATAAATTGAAAACCTTTCATAAGTTACACAATCCAACATAAATTTTCCTACTGACTGCGCATGCAAAATAAAAACTCTTCCTTCTGAAAAGCATGTGCCAGCATCCACCTAGTGTCATACATTTACACTAATTTTTATGCCTCCAGTGGCACAGCGGCAAGTCTGAAGGCTTTTAACGCTTAACGTTTTTGGGTTTCGATACCCCTGGTGGGCACAGTATACACAACCCATTGTGTAGTTTTTTGCTTAAATACAAACAATTCATAGTTATATATATATATAATAATTATTTAGCTAATTTCTTTATAATTTTAGCTGCTGAAGGCTATGAACATCAAACCTGATAGAAAATTTGGCTCATAATCTATCATACAAGACGAACGAATAACCGTTTGAACTTTCATTTCCAACATTAACAAAACCAACTTCTGCTAATGCTACCAAAGACATATAATTAGTGGTAAAAATATAATATCTGTGTTTTCCACATTAAACTAACAGAAGTTTATTTGGAATTTTTAAAGCTAATATCTTCAATGGTAAGACATTAGTGTGGTGAAAAGTTCTACATGTTCAAGTCTGGTATTGAAAGTATATATATATAAGTTTAACTGTTCTACTGTGTTTAAATCTCCTGCTAACCAAAATCCGTGTGTGTGTACGTTGTACACATGCACACACGCCCGTATTGAAATACAGTAAACATAAATAAATAACACCATTAAAAAACTGCAAGTTAAGTGAAACCCCTACGTCTTAGAAAAATATATTGTTGCGTCAGCGAGGTCACGTGACTAGTGTCACGCCACGGTTCTAGAACTATCTTGTTCCTTCGTGAATGCCCTAGCATTTACTAGATATATGTTTGTCTGGTATATATATATATAAGACGCTCACACCGTGGCAACAATGTGTGTAGGTAGTGAGTAATTGAACTGCTGTCAGAGAGTGTTGTTATAACGTTTGTTATAGAGTGACTGTTGAAAATAAGTGTATCGGTAAAGTTATATTCAGAAAGAATAAACCAGTTTTATTAAGTAAGGATTTGTGTCGCTAATCGGAACGAAGTTACGGAAAATCAATTAACAAACGGAGACGTAACAATATTTTAACTTGTTTATGGCACTCGACTCGCGATCTGCATGTTCGAATCCCTCCACCAAACATGCTCACCATTTCAGCCGTATGTGTGTGTGAGAGAGAAAGAGAGAGAGCTACAATGTGTTTGATGGTCAACCCTACTTTTCGTCGGTAAAGAGTAGCCCGAGAGATAGCTGTCTTCCTTTTAATCTAACACCTCAATATTGTAGACGGCTAACACAAAATTCCTTCGAGTAGCTTTGCGCAAAATTTAACAAAATAAACAAACCTGTTTGACCTTGTGTTTGTGGTATACCTTGTGACTGTCACATGGAATATATATATATATATTTCCGCATTCCAGTTTCTGTTTTCTGGTTGGTCAGCTACAGATAATGAACATTCTTTGTTATAAGTGTAATTGCAAGTTTTGGCGCTTTAGGAGAGAAATTGATTTTGGCCTTTGAGGATAGGAAACTGAGCAGACTCTTTTCTGTTGGATTTCTGACATGAAGGAGCCAAGACTTGCTGGTGAAATTTCGTTCGCGTGTTATCTTTTATTCGCCACGACTGCTGATTGTATGATTTACCTTATCTTAATTTTCACATAGTTCATTCTACCTTCTAATACTACTTTACAAGTCAATATCTCTTTTACATGGACGATCAGCCATTCTTCGGTTTTCTTTGCTAAATAAAATACTTGTGTTATTCAAACTTCATAACTGTCTCTTATCTCTTTCAATCTATTTAAAAAAATCATTGCACCTTTTCTTCCACATACTAAATCGAAGAAACTCTGGATTTTGCGAAGATAATGTTATGTCTCTGGTCGTTTGTTAATTTCCCGTAAAAATTATTTCCAAAGAACTTCAGCGATACAAGTCCTTTCTTAAATAAAACTAGTTTATTCTTTCTCAATACAACTTTGCAATACACTTAATTTCCACAGTCAGTTAAACTTAAACACACGCTATAATTCACAACGATTCACGCACTTTACATACGACTTGACTCGATTATCTGTCTCTATCTCTCTCTATCTGCAATTCTCTGTGCCGTCACTTTTATTCTCCGCTTTATTTGCCGGGTTTATATATATAAAAATAGAGGGCGTCTGGCAAACACTCGAGCCTTCATGATCCTTCTAGAAACTCATCACGTGTTACCAGAGTCACATGACTTCTGCTGTCGGAACACTATATATATATATATATATATATATTTAATATTGAACTTACATATATAGGTGAATTTTCAACTGCACAAATATTTTTACAGGTGTACAATTTGTGATCAACTGCACACTAAGAAAATCCCTGATCAACGTCAATAATTGTTAAGACTTGATATAAAAAATCTGCATGAGTGATTTGGACAAAGTCCGATACTGTGAATAATGCCGTAAAAATGAGAAGCACGTCGTTTGAAACAGTGAAACTGAAAGTTTTCACCAAACAGTAGTGCTTGTTTTCCTCATTGTTAACACGAGTCAAACAAATAGTTTGTCACGTGACAAGGGCATGGCCATTTGTCATGAATAATAAAAGTTTTGCACGTGTTTTAACTTAACTGCACTTCTTTTCGATGTCATGTTTAACAAAATTAACTGATAACCAATTACTTTAATTAGTGCAGATGTGTTTTGGAGTTGAGCTGGAGTGAAACATTAATTTAAATTGCATTTCAAAGTTGTTTCTCTCTGATAAACAAAAACGCTGGGGATCTGTTTATAACTAGGCAATTTTTATTTTTTACGTTTAACAAGTACATGTAGAACTGTCATTTTAAAACACATTTGGTAATATCTGAATCCTTTCGTTATAATTCAATCTGGAAACTCTTAGCTCTATGATTCATTTTATTAATAATTTAATTATACTTGAAACTGTATAACAAATATAATAACAAGGTTAGATTTGAATCAACTTGTCTCCGGAGCCTTACGGTCTGCATCGATTTGATTTTAAGTCCGGTTTAGCGATGAGAAGGTAATATTCGGGATCCTCACATTTATAGCACTATTGTGGAAAAATCCTTTGTATTAAAATTATTAATTACTTTACCAAAGTATAGCAAGATATAACACAATGTGCCTCTTCAAAGGTGTTCACATTGCAACTCTCAACGATTAAGCAGAGAAAACAACGTTTGCAGATAGAAAGTAGTCCGGAGTCTACAAGCTTCTTCGTTAAACCCTTAAATTTGGAGTGAAGTTTATACATATAATAAATAACAAAAAGAATTTTCGTTTGTTTATTTGAAGTTAAGCACAAAGCTACACAACAATAAGAAAAATAATAACGAGTCGACTTTCAACGATAGAAGTAATTGGATTTTGTCCGATATTTCGCCGCTAGGGCTAAGCTAAGGTTCACTACTTTTACAAAGGAAGCATGCAGTGAAATATTTCTTTGAAAAGATCAAATACAACTGCAATATTCAATATATATATATATATATCAGATATAACAGATATATCATAATCGCTGACCTGTATATGAAATAATAACATAAACATGTACTTTAAGTACTGGGGCTTATAATGCTAGAAATCACGCTCCGGTACCAGTGGTGGGCATAGCACAGATAAACATTTGTGAAGTTTTGTACTTACTAACAAGAAACTTTTAACTTTTCAAATAAATGGAAGTAACGTTATTATGGTAGTATAGGGATGCATTGTACGAAAAAGATACAATACAGTTTGTTGGTCTCCATTTAGCATCCAAAACTGTGAAGTTGGGGGTACATAGCTATGTTACTTTTCCATGGAATCCTAAAATGACTAAATATAAAATAAGTAAACTGTGTTGTAAACGGTATCATTACAAAGCACCCAGTTTATCGTTAGGTTACATTTATTCTGAAATAAATTCTGGGTGTTTAACATCTGTTTAAAATAATCATCATTTTCATTCCATTAGGTTTGAATCTTGTATAACTTTTAATCTTGTTACAATCATTGTTGTTGTTTTAATTAATGCAGACGTTAAGCAACAGCCTAGTAACAACATTAATAGTTCATTAATTTTTAATTTAAACGGGTTTGTTTAAAAGGATCATAAGGCCTTTTCGAAGCACATAAAGCTTTTAAACCTTCTTTTCATGTCGGACATTAGCAGCGTTATTGATTTACTCATTTCTTGTAAATTCCTTCATAATTTCATGCAAACACGCGATATTGTATCATCTTCTACGTTCGTTTAGTTAACTAACGTTATGGCTCAAATTTTACTACTCGTTATGGACGACAGATTATAAATTTTTAATTGCATGGAGCAAGAAACAAAACTACAGATGTTGCTTCGCCTAATTATATTACTCCCTATTTTAAGAAAATATTTAGGTCCAGGTTTTCATTATTCGTCATTTTATTGCCCATCAGTCACGAAAAAACAAAAACAAACAAACAAATAAAAAACAATCGGTAATATAAGGTTTTGCTCATTCTATAACACAAATGATAATTTTACAATTAGTAACAGTCTAAAAAACATTTATAATATATTGTATCTCATCCGTTGATTTATAACTTTCAGTGGTGACTATTACGTGCTGGTTTTGATACTCTGAGTTCCCCGCATTATATTTTGATAATTTAAAGGTAAATGTTGAGAATAAAACTATACTAAGAGGCAACAGTAGGTTTAGTCACTACTCCTGGTGATGGTAACTGTGTTATAAGAGGCAACAGTAGCTTTAGTCACTACTCCTGGTGATGGTAACTGTGTTATCAGAATTAATCGACTGAAATGTCTAATAAAGATTTTATCTGTCATTGTATCAAAAAACTCGTTCTTATATCTTTACCCTTAATATTAGTAGCGCAATGTGTCTGAAAATAAATTATGGAATTATACACTAGTATAATAATAGCTGCACTACAACGCAGTGACCTAAATGAACCATTGTAAGAAACAATCATTAATAGCTAGGCCTAAATTCTATAGAAAAAAAATCGGTTTAGGTTTGAATAAGAGATCATATTCTGTTCTAATAGTTTTTCTGGCATATTTTGTGTGTTTTAGTCGAAGCTTGGAATAATTACAAATTTTAATACGAATTCAGATTATTTATGTGTTTGTTTTATTTGTGTGTGAGGTACTTTTTTAAATATTATACTCCAAAAGCAGCACAATAATAGTCAAATGTCAGTGTTTAGTAAGTTATGTCAGTGCTTAACTTCTCTTGGTATTCGACGCGGACCGGTTCGATATGACAGCAACAAGCCTACATGCACACGCTCAGTAAAACTCCGTTTGTGAAGTTTAATTTTTGGTTAATCTAAACATATTACGTTTGAACTCGTTTGTACTACTATTCTGGAGCTGAAAACACATTGATTTGCTTATATTACTAATGATTACTGATGATGTTTCTGCTAAACCTAGACTTCTGTATACCTAACTTCCAAGCTAGAATAACCATATAGTTTATATTTTGGTATACGTATGGTGTTTTCAGGTAAAATAGATTCCTCTACAAGTGCCAGATATTCAACCCCACAAACAAGCATAATCGATCAAGATATAACAAAAGTGTTCTGTAATAGATAATTGGGCATAGTTCCTTTAACTATAAAGTAACGAGTCTGGATGAATTGGAATAAATGAACAAAATCTTTATTATAGCAAATAAACTGAAACATAATGTACTTACTTATTTAGACGAAATTACATTTTTTTTTCTTTTATGCTATGTTTAGCTCTACAGCTTTTTCTCCTTCCGGATTAATATTATTAGAACTAAACACATTGTCCATGACAGACGTCTTCCACTTATCCTAGTAGAAACCGGCTAAAGAAATCAACAGATAAGCTTGCTTTCTTTGTCCAATCAACAGCGTCGCGCTATGAGCATGTTCCCTCACAGCATTGGTCTGTTGTTTCATCCAGTCAACACCGTCATTTGCTAGCGAAGGATATTACAGTGTTAATCGTTTTAATCCATATGCTGTGTATTACTGCAATATCCTCTCGAGCTGAAGAGACATTATCTACTATACAGAACAAAGAAACGAAGCAACTAGAACAAGGTAATCTTAATGACTTTCTGCACCACGTGTTGCCACCATTACAGCAAGAAACTAAAAGCCAAAAATCCTTATTTCTAAAGCTGTTAGAAAACAAATGATATCCCGACATATCACATATGTAACGTCAATGAAGCCTTAACATGGAGCGATTGTTACTTGTTTATTGATATCGCTCACCTCTTTCCATAAATTTATAAAATTTTAAATTGTTTAACCTCATCGAAAACAAAACTTACCGTATTACAATGTAGATATTATCATTGTGCTTTAAATCAACTCCATAACTGAAAGTAGAAAGTTATAATTACGTATATTGAAGGTCAATAGAGACATTAAGTATATTATGCCCATCTATATTAACTTAAAGTGATATCTGTATTGAAAACATATAAACAAATATTAAAGCTAGATACTTCCTTTATATATTTGAATGTTTCGTCGATTTATGAGAGGCTAGAAAAAATAAGTCACTCATAAAACAGTGAAATTTGTTTGTGTCAAATACGTACAAATTTGTTTTTAAGTCATTTGTCAAAAATTAAACTTCGAATTTTTCTACGTTTTCTTTTGTATCTGTAGTTTGTACATACTAGAACTGACAAGCTCTAGTGAAGATGTTAATAATAATATAAAATAATGGCTCTTGTCAGTTTGTGCATTTCCACCTTATTAGTTAAACTAAATCTGAAGAAACAGCTAAAACAAAAGAATCCGTTTAAGTTACAATAACCACAGTAAAACACGATATGGATTTAGGTGTAGGGAACATCTGTTGGAGTTGAGTGAGTGTGAGAATACAGCAAGGAGATTACAGCACTATATGTCATTAGAAAATGACTGGAGTGAATGGCTGTCGTTCTTCTTCGGTCAGTGTGGAGATTACCGGACTCCTTATGATTATAAGATGTTGTAATCCGATATAGGGAGAAAACAGGTATCCAAGGTCAAAACAAGGGCTGGTTTGGTATGGGTTTGAGAAAAGAGTATAAAAGACAGGGCTTCAACGTAAAGAAGAAGAAAAAAGAAAGACTGGAAGATGCGAAAAAGAACCAATAAACCAAGAGAGGCGACGGAAGAAAGTAATATTCTGCCAGTAAGAAACAAAACCTAGTTCTAAATCTATGTGTTGTTGGTTGTAGTAAAAACAGAAAATTATGTTTACATGAATATGAGTTAATTCCAAATAGGAATAAGTTCAACCTAAATAATGTGGATGAACATAAGAAGGGAATGTGAAGTTCAAGTATAGCACGATCATATATAATTGTGTTAGATCGACCACAACAGTTATCCATACCTAAGCTCATACTGGGATTTCAGTACAACTATTTTACTCCAAGATTTCTCTTCCTCTATCAGTGGAGCAGACGCTACACTCTCAACCATATCACGCTTAACGTGAAGGAATGCTATACTGGTTCATTTAGGCGAGGTGCACTCTAGAGCGTATGAGCTCTAACAGTAAATGAAATTGAAGGTGATGAAAACGGAAAGATCTCTACTGAATACTTAACTAACAAAAACACATACAAAACATCTCCAATTTACACTGTTTTAACGGTACACACAATCTGACGACACACAAATTATGTTCTCTCAACAATCTCGATCCCCAAAAACGAATTTAAATTTGCCAGTTAGCCTCGGCTATTTGGCATACTAAAGATCACTAGTGGCTCTTGTTAGCACAACTAGCTAACGGGACTAAGCCATGATTACTCGCGACTGTTGAATGATACACCAACAAGAATAGCACACAAGTCCCGAAAGGGGACCAATAAATCTGTAATTTACACGCAAACTGCATTTTCCACTAACAGGAAGCTAAAGTGAGTAAGTTGCTTAAGTGCCTCATTGTATTCAAAGAGGAACTACGAAAATATCGTAATTAAAAAAAAATAGTTTTTAACAAATGGCTGGGAACCAGACAGCACGTTCCCGTACTAAACTATAAATATTTGACACATTGAAACTAGTGTGTAACTAAATAACGAATTAAAGTGAAGGTACATTTTCATTTAACGAGACAATTTTTGTAATAATAGGGTTAACGCTTGGCTCAATATCAACGTCCTAAAATCATGATTAGTGGGAAAAACAACTGAAACGGAATAACTCCTAATCAGAATCAAACAAAAAATATGGCTTATTACTGAAGTTGTCTCAAACATTGACATTTGTTTCGGTGCTATTTTACAACTGAAGTTCCATATAAAGGTACTCTCACTACATGATATTATAAAATAGCTCAGGTACCCGTTCCACTCACGGGGAAGACACTTAAGACCCGGGGATTCGAGCACAAATCCCTTATGTCAGTCCCCTGGGAGCCCTAAGGGTACATGCCAGATTTGGAAACAAACTTACCAACTTTGTCAAATAATGGTTTAGAACTTTAGATAAATGTTATATTAAACTAGAGTTCAGGAAATATGAAAAAAATGACAACGGGAGAAAAAAATATTGAATGAAAGACTGGACAACGATCGATGTTTGCTGTTTTGCAATTTGATTATGGTTTTCATTTAAAAAGTCACGCGACTTGGCCTTAAATTACATTATAATTATAAGCATTGTTTTCTGTACTCCATGTTTTCGAAAAATATATTGTTACGTCTCCGTTCGTTAATTAACTTTCCGTAACTTCGTTCCGACGAAACTTTAGCGACACAAGTCCTTACTTAATAAAACTGGTTTATTCTTTCCGAATACAACTTTACGATACACTTATTTTCAACAATCGCGCTAAAACAAACGCTATATCAACGAACGTCAACAATACTTCTGACTGCAGTTCAATTACTCACTATCTACACACACACTCCCTGTGACTGCAGTTCAATTACTCACTATCTACACGCACATTATTGTCCCGTCACGTTGTCACCCTTTTTTATATACCAGCCTACCCTATATCTAGTAAATACTAGAGCATTCGCCAAGGTACAGGATAGTTCTACAAAATAGGTGGCGCCACACCAGTCACGTGACCTCGATGATGCAACAATATATATATATTGTAATGTTCGCGAGGGTAAGTCATCATTTAAATGATGAGATGAAGGGTATTTTTTTCAAGAACTGTTTCCTACCTCTAAACAAAAGCTTACTTTATATTTTTCATAGCCAAGAAGAAGCTATCAAGATTGAGGAAGAGTTGTTCGACGAGTATGCCTATAACGCAGATCAAGTCATGGAGTTGGCAGGCCTAAGCGTTGCCACAGCTGTTGCCAAGACTTACCCTCTATTTGACATGACTCGACGAAAAAATGTTTTAGTTTGTTGCGGACCTGGAACTAATGGAGGAGATGGCCTAGTGTGTGCTCGTCACTTAAAGTTATTTGTAAGTAATGCATCGTGTGGTGGGTTGTGTAACATGAGTAAACAGTTAAAAATACCACATATTCCTTCCTCTTAACAGGTCAATACTTTTCTGAAATTATTTCTAAGAGGAAGGAAGAAATTTCCTTATGTAATTCGTAACTCTCCAAAGGTTCACCTGACTCGTTTCTATCAGTTCATTACATTAATAATACAAACTTAAAAATACTCCTGTTATTACTTTTATATAATAAACCGCTATGGTTTGTAGTATTTTATTGTAACGTTTAGCCATTTAGTGGTAAAAGCAACGCATTAATCTGGACATCAAGGACAAAATAATTTTGTGAAGAAATCTTACGGTCCAATAGTTAGCATGTTAGACTATGAATCTGAGGTTTTATGGTTCGCGCCCTTTACCGTAAAAATAAGTATATAAAAATAGCATTCCGCGCACTTTGAGACCGTGGGCGTGTGTTATGAGATTGTTATCCCACTATTCGGTCTAACAAGAGCAGCTCAAGAGTTAGCGGTGGTTGGCAATAACTAGCTGTCTTCTCTCTAATCTATAATTTCAAAATTAGGGACGGCTATCGCAGATAGAACTCAGCTAGCTTTGCGCGAAATTTAACAAGATAAACAATTGCCCTCTGGCGGTTTAGCAGTAAGTCTGAGAGCTTATAATGCCAAAAATCGGGTTTTGGTATCCGCTATGGATAGAGCATAGATAACTCATTGTGTAGTTTTTGCTAAATAACAAACAAAAACAAACCAAATATTTTTATTTTTAAAACAACTGGCACAGATCTGTCTCGTTGGACACATAATTAGAAAATTGTTGGCTTAAAACAACTTAATGTCTTTTGCACCAAAGTAGCGAGAAATCAAGCTTTAGCCACATTTACGTTTCAGTGTGAAATTAGTAGAAGTTTATTTTTATAAATTGTTCGCAAGTTCTTGTTAGTGAAATCATAAAGATATTTATCACCAATTGGACATTTGTAATAAAATTATTTTTGTTAAACCTTGTAGCCACTCGAAGATAAATTAAAATAGCTGATGCAAATCTAAATCACCTACTCATGTATTTGATCTTTTAAAATATCATTTTGCAGGATTAATGTAGAGAGGAAAAGAAACGCAAGAGAAATTTGAACAAAGTTTTTTGTTGTTTCTTTGCATTGAAATATTGAAACTGTTTACACACCATTACTAAATCTACAGCATTGAGTTTGTTTGTTTGAAGTTAAGCACAAACACAATGGGTTATCTGTGCTTTGCCCACCACGGGTATCGAAACCCGTTTTCTAGCACTGTAAGTCCACAGACATACCGCTGTGCCACTGGGGGGACACGGCATTGAGTGAAAAAAGTTTTTGAATAGTAAACTCACCATGTTCTTATTAATGAAGTCACCAAAAATATCCAGTAAACTATGACAAAAGACGTCAATATTTGACAGTATTAGTATCGCAGAACGTTCTTATTTATAAGGTATACCTTTCTTGAATGGGATCTTGCTGGTAGGCTACAAGAAGACACGTTCAGATACAGTGTACTTCCTTAATTGAAGGCGATAATTCTTTTCATGATAGTGTTTTTATGGCTGTTCTATGTTTCTTAATTTGTTGCAATCGCTTAACATGCTATTTACTTTGATATAACGTTTACTTTCATTCAGAATTACTACACATTACTGTTATCTGATTTTCTAAAAAGCAAACTGCCATATTTCTACTTAAGTTAACAAGTAGTTGATAATCTTAAATCACTCAGTTGAAGGGTTTGCTTCCAAATTTCATGACTGAGATGAAAACACTTAAAATCAAGAAAATAAAGTAGGGTACTTTGCAATGCAAACATAGAATTGTTTAAGTTGTGTGGCTACAGCTTAAAGATGTAACTGAGCTTTTTGGTACTTTGACTAAAAAAAAAGAATATTAAAAACCAAAGGAATTACTTGAAACATCGTATTTTGTTCGAAGATCAAGAAATTTCTTGGAAGGACACACAATATAACTTTGTTCTGTGAAATGTTACTTAAACAAACTAAACTAACACCATATGAAGCGATATAAAAATAAAAGAGAATATTACATTACATGAATTAGTCATTTTCACTAATCAAAATAATGTGCAAGCCTTTTTAAGCTCTAAACTTCAAAATAAGAAGATTCCCGGTTTAGACATAAATAGAGTTAACTTTGGATTTCGATACAGAGTAGAATAACCTGCGTTTAGCCAGTTTAAAGAAACTGGTGTAGTATTTCGCTCCGATAGGAAAGTAACTTCGAACTTTCCGGTAAATCTTTAACTTTAGCATTGAGTTTGTTTGTTTGTAATTAAGCACAAAGCTACACAATGGGCTCTCTGTGCTCTGCCCACCATAGGTATCGAAACCCGGTCCTCAAACATACCGCTGTGCTACTGGGGGGCACTTTAGCATTTGGAGTAGAGCTGAACATAATGATTCCGTGTTGTTAATCGGCTTAAAACAGCTCAGGTTTCCTGTTATTTTGAACGCTAAATTTGTTCCATTGTTCCAACCTCGTGTCTAGCGTTTAGTTCTGTGTTATATATTTTAGTAGAAGTAATTTTATGTTGCTCTATTGTATAAGTGATAGCTGATTAGTTCGTTTTGTTTTTCCTCTTCAATTGCTTGTAAATTAATTTCATAAATATTATAAAGAACTGGATTTTAGAACAAGGAATCAATATTTGGATCTTGAAGATGGCCACAGTATAGAAACCGAAACGTCATGTCCTTTTCTTTCAACAGGCAGATACAGTTCATTTAAGTTCTCAGACTTGCTGTGTCTTCTATGCTTGACGTTCCACTGAAACAGTATATTTGATTATGCTTTGATATAATGCTTTTAGCGATAACTGTATAATATAAATATACTTGGGCTTTCTTTTGTTTACACTTAAACAAACAACTCGCTACACTCAAGCTTCAAGATTTGACGCACTTAGTCAAATGCAACATTGAACATAATTTCAATGCTCACGCATATAATATTTTATTTTAAAAAAGCTGATTGTTAAATTATTTTATTAACATTTTCTGAGAACATTTTACATATGAATATTGATTTTTGTTTAAAACAGAAGCTTCTCAGCAACAGAATCAGTCAATAATGATGTATTAGAAAATATGTATCTCCTCTTGTTATGTTCTGACGAATTGAAACACTGATGGATAAATTTGTGGAATATATTAATTTTAGCAAAGTGTTAAAGTTAGTTTTATGTATTTTATACAACAAAAACTTATAACTACTTGTGACTAAATTGTAGATAGAAACAACTTCACGTATGATACGTGATAACTACGGGGACAAATACGTTACTTCTGTAATTCATATTCAACTGAGAAAAAGGACATCATTAAGTATAATGAAGTCTTGGCTTTTTTTTTTAAATAGCGGGTTTACACAGCTCAGATATTTACCTACAGTGTATTTAAGTCAAACACATACATATATATATATCACTCTTCAAAATTACTGTACTTGTTATAACATTCACACAAGCCTGTTATTCACGTCAAAAAAATTGTTACTTCATCGAGGACTATTTAACTGCATTTTAAATTAGCTTCGAGGACTCCAACCCATTCTCTTTGTTGTTTTTTCTCATTGGATATTCAACTAATGACTTAGTAACACACAGAGTACATGTATCTCTATAAGATCTTTTGCCGCAATGCGTACTTGCTGGAATAACGACGATAAAGCTATGCGGTGATATACTTAAACTTTCACTAGACTCCATCCAGCTAGCCAGTAAACTACATGAAATTTTGTATGAAACTATTTAAACAAAGGATTTACATTTCTTTGTAATTACAAAGACAGATGTGTGTTGGTTTTAACTCATATATATATATATATATATATACATATGTGTGTATGTGTATGTATGTATATATATATATA